CCCGGGGTCATTGCTAGTTTTGCATTGCAAACTGCAATGATGTGGCATAAAAGACGGCCTGTGTGTAACCGAGTGTTTTAAGCTTGAGGACAGACTTGCACTCTTCTAGTTAGTTCGGCGACTGCTGTAGATATGTGCATAATGTAATATCAGTAGGTCAGTAGTAATTTCATTAGACGATTCAGTGTAGGTATTAGGTAGCGGCAGATGCCCTCGCATGTCCATGACTCTATTGACCAATGCCACAATACACCGACTTAGTAAATAAAGGTTGATTAGATCAGAACAGGTGCAACTTTGTACTGTGCTTATCCGGCGTCGGCGTGGTGTGCCAGGATATTTTGTAAGCGACTTGCGTCTAATATAGAGAAACGTTTATAACATGGTCAGGTATGCACAAGTGAAATGAAATATACGATGAGTTTTGCCGGTGCGCCGTCTCTGGGCATTCAGCGACGCAGAATACCACTTGCAACGAACGGGAGATAAGGGCTCTGGGGGATTACCTGGACAGGGCAGCGGTAACTGACTATAGAGCTGCCCCTACATCCCCAGTAAACATGCCGACGTCGGCCCGACGTCGGCCGACGTCGGGGTGACGTCGGCAACTCGGCATCGGCATGCCGACGTCGGCCCGACGTCGGTCCAACCTCGGCACGACGTCGGCTGGATGTCGGATATGCCCGCATGTTCCGACGTCCAGCCGAGGTCCAGCCGACGTCGGGCCGACGTCGGACCGAGATCAATTGCTGAAGTCCAGCCGACGTCGGGGCGACGTCGGACCGACATCGGCCGCTGTTTTGACCGTTAAAATAATATAAAATACATGTTTCATGTTTCATAAAGAGCTTCTGTATTCAAAATATCCTCAGGAAACTCAAATCTTCCTCCACGCCACCACCCCCTGATCCGTACTGGACGGGAAACTTTATCCCATTTGGGATTGCCCGTAAGCCGAGCTCGCCCGTAGCCGGGTGCGGTGAGTGCTTGGGGGCTGCTCGGCCTATCCTTTGGTCAGGCTCAGCCCCGGCAACTCACCAGGGCCGGGCCCAGTTCATATAGAAAGGCCAGTCGGCAAGTGTCACTTTGCCAAAGTGCCACTTATCAAAGGGACACTTTGGGAAACGTTGGTGCAGGTGTGTAAGAGTGGCTATATGAATCCATTGTGGGGTCGCCCTTTCCAATAAGTGTCACGTAACAGCAATGGGACCAGGGACTCTATATTAACTGGACCCAGGGTGTTCGCCAAGAAGACCAATGTCTCCATGCTATGATCCTTCCGGCTCTGAAATGGTCTTGTCAGACCGAAAGGGCATAAGGCAACAAAACAAACCAACTTCGTTAGTTGGCTGCGTGGTGTAGTGGTTAGCGCACTAACCTCGCATTCGAATGACACGGGATTCGAATCCGATCACCGACTGATGCTTTTGGCCTGTTGTCCCAGTAAACATGCCTACGTCGGCGACTGGGGGGCTCGAATCCCGCCGCCGGTTGATATTTTTGGCGCGTTGTCCCAATAAACATGCCGACGTCGGCCCCGTCGGTCCAACGACAAACGATCTCGTCAACCTCGGCAAACGATCTCGGCCCGACGTCGGCTGGACTTCGGCTGGACATCGGAACATGCGGGCATATCCGACGTCCAGCCGATGTCGGGCCGAGGTTGAACCGACGTTGGGCCAACGTCGGCATGTTTACTGGGTCCTAACTGCTGCAGGATTACACGCTGTGACCGCGCTGAATAAAACCGTGATGGAACGTCGTCAGATGATGCTAAAATAAATATGGCATTTAAATATAATTTTGAGTCTGCACTGAAGCACTGAAAGAGGCATCACAAAAGGCCCTAAATCAAAACTGACCATGCAGTAGCAGCAGTAGATTCATACAATACAACGTGGGTTCATACATCTTGCACCGTTCCGTGCTTCTATCCTCAGGATACTGAAATCCTTCTCCTCCACGCCGCAACCCCCCTCCGGGCTGGACAGGCAACTTTATCTCATGCGGGCTGCTCCCTTGGAGCGGCACCGCTGCTCCTGAGGGAGCGCACCCCGTAGCCGGGTGCAGTGAGTGCCTTGGGGCTGGGTGGCCTGTCCTCTGGACGGGCTCAGCCCCGGCGACTCACTAGGGTGCCTGCCCAGACCAATGTCTCCCCCTAATTCCTATCATCCTTCTGGCTCTGCAATGGTCTTGTCAGACCGAAAGGGCCTAACCCAACAAAACAAACAAACAAACAAACATACATCTTGTCTTCTTAAAATAGTCATAAACCTACCTCATACCTGAAGGCATTGGGAAGCCTCATTGCTCAAAAGGGAAAGCGAAAGAAGCTATTCACCAGTATAACAGGGAATACTCAGCAGCAGAACATCAAAAATTGAATACTTTTTCGAATGTCCGATGGCGAATATTGGACTCAACTTCACTACTTAGCTTTGGGTAATTCACTTCAGCATATTAATGCCCCACGGGCCACGGTATCACCCGTGGGTATCAGCATGGATGAGATAACACGGATGAGATAATATTATTATCTCATACCTACAGGGTGTCCCATAAGTTCGTTCTCACCTTATATTTGCATGTAAAACAGAGTACATTGCGTTTTGATATGTTTATAATCCCTCAATGTGCTCCCCATTTCATAGGCAAACACATGAATACATGCTGCGACATGCCAACCGGCATGTTTGGCAGCATAGCAGGCTTGAAGTTAGCCCAGACTGACTTGGCATGGGCCGTGAGCTCCTCAATGCTGGAACACCGCTTCGCTTCGACGAGCCTCGATTTCAATATTCCCAGCACATTTTTATGAAATTTGGATCCGATGAGTTGCCTGGGATGTGATCTTGCCACAGACGCCTATCACAGTCTCCTGGCACTGCTTCTAAGCTTTGCTTGACCTGTGCACTGATGCACTGTCTTGCTTGAAGATGGGCCTACGACCTCCCGGATGCCATTTTCTCCTCAAAAAAATGTGGTCATACTTGCGGTTCGAGTTAAGCTAGAAGGCTGAAACTCCTCCTAGATCTTCTTGGAGAAGCATTCTGCGTCCCAAGACTGTTTCTGGAGTATCAATCGCAACGTGCTCAGTGTCTGGACGCATATTACCCCACATTACCGTGACCCTGGCCTTTTGCATAGGAATAAAGCGGGATGACACAAAGGCCTTTTCCGTCGCCCATATGGGACCGTTTTGGGGTTTGGACGGGTGTTTTATCTCGAGCACGGACTAGGTAGTCCAGATGACCACATTGATGTCATCGGCCCTCCAGTTTTTTAGCCTCAGGCATAACGAAACACATGTTTGGCCATTTTAAGACGTTTTTGACTGTTTTGAGCCCTCCGGTAAGTAGAACTTTAGTCACCTTGAGTTAGGTACCCTGAAATGATACTCTTCGACAGCTGGTAATGCATCCTGAAAATCATGTTTACCAACTTTCTAACGCTAAGACCTTTTTGACGGCCATTTTGGCGCCACACAGTTTTGGCCACATGGCTCACTCGTGAAAGCTGACAAAAAAGAGCATAAACTTGCAGCGATTGACTCCCGACAAATCATCGGCGTCACTTGTTGACTGTGCGTCCAGTTAGCGACAGACATTGGCTACATACTGGATGGTCTCAATCACCCTCAGCCGTTGTGAATGGCCCAGTGCGGACTAAATACCGAGGCGTTCCCGTATCGGAGACCTCTATGTTGCGGCGTAAGCCGTCTCCACAGGAAATGAACTCTCTGGCAAAAAATATTTTGTCTAGACGAATTAGTTACCGTGGAGCACATTCACAGTGGCCATGGCAACCCCAAAAGCTCAGTAACAAAATAAATTAAGCGTGGCTTTAAATAAGAGAGCCTCTAAAAGAAAAATTTAGGTGAGAAGGAACTTATGGGACACCCTGTACATACACGGATTCAGTATGCGGATGCACGTGCGATGTTGAATGTTGAATGTTTTGTGTGATCCATAAGCACCAACGTCTGGTACTACTAATACCGTCAAGCGACTTAATGCACATAGAAATTACCATGAAAAATCGTAAAAATGTACGCTTCCATCCATTGCAATATCCCTACATGAACCAGCTTTTGGCACGTGTGTGTATTTTGTGTTAAACAATTTAGTGGCGGCATTCCTTAAGATACGTAGCAAACGCGCCATAGTTGTACGCAGATTAGTGTTTACATTTTTTGGTGATGGCGCTGGGGGACCATCAAAGCGTCCAAAACCGCAGCATCCAAAGTACGCAACATCCAAAACCGCAGCGTCCAAAGTACGCAACGTCCAAAATACGTCCAAAATCGGGTATATAGGGAGCATTCACAACGTCCAAAACCGAAACATCCAAAAACGCAACATCCAAAACGTATCATCCAAGGACGCATCATCCAAAGTACGCAACATCCAAAGTACGCAACATCCAAAGTACGCAACATCCAAAGTACGCAACATCCAAAACCGTTTGGTTAGGTTAGGTTAGGCTAGGTTAAGTTAGGTAAGGTTTGGTTAGGTTTCCTTATCCCCGGTAGGCATAAATCAGTAGGTTAGGTTAGGTTAGGTTAGGTTAAGTTAGGTTAGGTTAGGTTAAGTTAGGTTAGGTTAGGTTAGGTTAGGTTTCCTTATCCCCGGTAGGCAAAAATCAGTAGGTTAGGTTAGGTTAGGTTAGGTTAGGTTAGGTTAGGTTAGGTTAGGGATAGGCAAAAATCAGTAGGTTAGGTTAGGTTAGGATAGGTTAGGTTAGGTTAGGTTGGTTTTGGATGCTGCGTGCCTTGGATGTCGTGGTCTTGGACGTTGTGGTTTTGGAGGTTACGTACTTTGGATGTTACGTCTTTGGATGTTGCGTTTTTTGGATGATACGTTTTTGGACGTTGCGGTTTTGGATGTTTCGGTTTTGGACTTTGTGAATGCCCCCTATGAACCCGATTTTGGACGTATTTTGGACGTTGCGTACTTTGGACGCTGCGTTTTTGGATGTTGCGTACTTTGGGTGCTGCGGTTTTGGACGCTTTGATACGGACCCGATGGCGCTGTCCCGCAGTGTGTGCAGTGAAAAACATCATAGATGTTTGATGCGCTAAGTAATCAGTTTAAATTCAATAATTATATTTCCGTGGTGTTTGAAATCTTCAGCTTATCATACAAACATTTGTGGTTTGTCCTGGCTTGTGTCAAACGTGTTTCTAAGACTTCTCTCAACGTGTGAACGCAGCGTCAGCATTGGCTACCTATCAAAAAAGACTGCTCTGAGCCCGCTGCAGCTATTAATCCGCTTATAAGCTCATCAAGTACGATTTCTTCCATTTTGATTTGAAAACGAAAATGGTGAGTTATCTTTTTTAATTGTTATTCATTTTGGGGGATACCTTCACTGTGTAATAAGCTGATCCCTTATACTTTTAAGCATTTTAACAGCACACACAAAGCCTCAATAAATGCAATACTGACTAACCGACAATTCCACTTTACTCTTGCTGTCTTGCTTTCATTTTTGCTCTTTCATTCACATCAACATTACTTGTCCCACATCATATCTATCTTATTGTGCATTTCAAGTTTTCCGACAATAGCAATCATGCATTTCAAGAAGTCATTCACTGCTAAAAAATGTTCCAGGTTATGAACTCTAAATCTGTCCTCAAAATTTTGCAATTCAGATTGCAAATGATCTTATTTGAATATCACACATTTCCAATTAACAATCAGTGTTACTTGTTTCTTTCCAGACCTGTTAACTCACAGTAAACCTCATTTTGATATGTTTTGTTAACATTGGTTCATTATGCAGATACTATCGTGGATCACTGACAGAATTAGTATAGTAACATAGCATAGATTATTGTGAAGTGAAAAGCAATCTTGTAAGTGCTTATTTATACCCTCTACTTGTTCATAATTTGACTGAACTCATTACCAACTGGTTTGAAAGAAGTAACTTCTCAGTTCTCTCAAGATAGCATTGTCTGATTCAGCATTATTAATGGCACCATCTGCTGACTAGAATGTAGTTTCACAGTATGTGACTTTTAATGGGTGACTTTAGTGCAAGGTTATCGCACTCTGGTGAATGCACATGATGAATGTGTGCACATGTGTGGCCATTAACATTTAACATTTCTCTTCTGATTGTCATTTCAGAGCTTCTTTGGATTTGGCCAAAGTGCTGAGATCGACATAGTTCTCGATGGAGCAGAAACCAGGAAAATGGCAGAACTCAAGTCTGAAGAGGGAAAGAGGGAGAGGTATTACCTCTTCTTTGATGGTGAAACCATAAGCGGCAAGGTTAGTGGTATTATTATTGTCAGCGCCATCTCAACAGTGAAGCAGGGTGGTTGTTCTGTTCTAACAGAGCTGAAAACAGTGATTACATAACTATAAGCCAGGCTGGAAAATGTTCCATCCACTTTTTAAAATTTTCGTAAAATATATGTTTTACGGAGGTCATGGCATTTACAATCAGCATGTTCAATTGTCATTGTTCTGTCCGTCTCAAGTTTTGTTATTTTCACAATCCATTCGGTTCATATAAATACTGATGTCTTTCACAGGTCATCATTACTCTGAAGAAGGCTGGCTCTAAACTGGAGCACTTTGGTATAAAGGTGGAGTTCGTTGGTCAGATAGAGCTGCAGTATGACCGCGGAGGCCAGCACGAGTTCCTCTCACTGGTGAAGGAGCTGGCGCGGCCGGGAGAGCTGCAGCAGAACGTCAGCTACCCGTTCGAGTTCAGCCAGGTCGAAAAGCCGTACGAGAGCTACTCGGGCTCGAACGTTCGGCTCAGGTGAGCAGCACTTCGATAGATTGCTGTTGTAAATGATGTAACAAGTTGTGATTGTAATGCTGGGTTTTCTGAGATACACCCAGTAGATTAGAGAACATTGCAGCCAACGGTAACCGCGAAGAAGTATGCTTTGTATGAATTGTAATGTTTGGTTTTGATGAGTTTTATTCATTATTCATTGAATGCTTATGACCACATCGTCCATAAGCATTCAGTAATGATCGATATTGCTATTTCATTTGACTTGTGCCTATATTTTTACGATTTATCAAGGATGCCAATACCATTGGTAACTTCAAATACCTACTTATCTGGTCCCGGAGATGATCCTTTTGGTTTACAGACAATAACGTGTTTAATAATGGTCGTCGTCGATGAAATGCAACCTCGCGGACCGTGGGTAACATCGTGCATAAGAATGTCGCGTTGTTCCCTCGCTCAGGTACTTTCTGCGCGTGACGATCGTGCGTCGCCTGTCCGACTTGGTTCGTGAGATGGACATAGCAGTTCACACGCTCTCCCAGTACCCGGACATGAACACCAGCATCAAAATGGAGGTCGGCATCGAGGACTGCCTGCACATCGAGTTCGAATACAATAAGTCCAAGTGAGTTAGGGCGGTCTGCCGTTCGTTAATGACCTCTGTATTTTGGATACCCTGACTCCATCTCATCCCCCCCCCCCCCATTGGAAAAGAAACGGAGTCGTACCATGCGATCGTTATGCCATTTGAAATGCAAACTCTTCAGTGCGACATCATGGTGTGACTTAGTTGCTCCGACGTGGCGACCTTTGACACGGACCGCGACGGTGGCGCCACCTCAGTAGCTGGCAGCGCCTCCGTCAGCGCAATCACTCACAGAAACCGGTGGGTACCTGACATGCGAACAGGGATGCCCTGGCTTCATTTGCCTTCTCCTGTGCTGCGATGCAAATGGTCTTGAGGGTTTCACTCAATAAGAGCATGATTCGAAAATTTCCTACTCGTCGTCTCCTTCTGTGCGGTAATTATGCATTGTTTTGGTCTTAGTTACCGCTACAAAACCGACAAGGCAGACTGCATCTTTTCTTAATCCCACATACGCTCTCCTTTCAAAGCCCTCGTCACCGTTTCAGGTATCACCTGAAGGATGTCATTGTTGGCAAGATCTACTTTCTGCTGGTGCGGATAAAAATCAAACACATGGAAATTGCCATCATTAAGCGTGAAACCACGGGCGCAGGTAAGTAAGACGGACATTTCTGCGCCAGGTTACGCAATGTAAGGTAACAAAAGTGGTTTGTCTAGCTCAGTTAAAATAAGAACTTCTCAGACTAGCCGTAATGCCAGTTTTGCTTCCATAAGTCACCTCACGCTCCATATTGAGGTCCTTTAGGTGGGCGGGGCATGGGCTATGCCTGTTTGGGTGAACTCGAATTTGCCAATAAGTTATGAACTCATCCTCTTCATCCGTGTGCCAAACAGGTCCCAGCACCTACAACGAAAACGAGACGATCGCCAAGTACGAGATCATGGACGGCGCGCCGGTGCGGGGCGAGAGCATTCCGATCCGCGTGTTCCTGGCCGGCTACGACCTCACGCCCACGATGCGCGACATCAACAAGAAGTTTTCGGTGCGCTACTACCTGAACCTGGTACTGGTGGACGTGGAGGATCGGAGGTACTTCAAACAACAGGTCAGTTGGTGACAGTGTTCTAAAATTGGATATTGGTTGGGTGTGCCGATGAAGAAAAAAATCCTAGGATGAGAAAAAAGAAAGTAAATAACTGCAGTATTTTTGCAAAATGGTGTAATGCCAATTGTTATGCTAACTGATAAACCAGGATTTCATGCCAGGATCTTGACAGGGTGTGGAACAAAAGGATGTGGGTGCATCAACTGTCAAGTGACAAGTGAACTGGCTGTTGGGAATACATGAAACTCTTTTCAGAGATGAAGTAAAGTCGGTCATTCATATTTTAGGGATGAAAATATTTTCCCCATTAGGTGTGATTTGCCACCAAAAAGGCTGAAAAATGAAACACTGGTTGGTGAGAATAGATGGGGTATGCTGTACTTGTGTGGCCTGTCGAAGGCTTCCATGGGCTACCCATTATCCACGGGTTTTCAGATATACTGATGGGCTTTCTTGAGGAAGCATTTCAGTCGAGAATCGGATTTCTAAATAAATTTAATCCGAACTAAAGAACGGAATGTAAGAATGTAAATGACAGAGTCTCCGCTAAGCGGAGCTTGTTGCGTTGGCCCTGTCCTCTACCCTTGGATCTTTGTAAGTGTAGGCATCTGATATAGCTCTTCCCAGCTTGGACTGACCCGCGATGTCGGCCACCTCCCCAGTCCAGCTCTCCCATGCCCCCACTCTCGGACTGACCTCGGTCACGCTGTCCGGTAGGAGATCACCCTGTGGCGCCAGGGAGAGCGGGCGCGGCGTCCGGCGAAGCTGACCGACCACCAGCCGGCCCAAGAGCCGCCGACACCGGTCACCATCTGCAACATTCACCAGCAGCTGATCGACGGCAACATCCAGCAGCGGCCCAGCACCCTCCACACGGTACGGTACCGGTCCACCGCACGGTACAATAGCCGACCAACACTCTGCACACGGTACAATGGTGGCTCAAGTCTGGACTCTGCACACTACGGTAGCGGCCCAGCACACGGTACAATTGCGGCCCAACATTTTGCGCACGGTACGACAGCGATAGGACACCATCAGTCGGGGAACTATTGAAACAGCCAAGTATCACATCCGTTGTCACGATTAACAGTGTTGACTAGATCTATGGTCGATTTATCTTCGATCGACATTCGATCTAATTAAAAGTTAATTTCTAGAACCGACCTCGGCTCAGCAGTTTTTGCACATCGCGCATCCTAAATGAAAACGTATTGCATCCAAAACGGATGCCGGGATGCCGCGAGTGATAAAATATATTTGAAGAATTAAAATGACGGGTGTTCCACAGCTCTAGCTAAAATCTGCTGTTCACCTCATTGAATACTTTGCTACAGCTGTATCCATTCTCTGTCCGTCTATTATTTCCTTCGTTTCGTTCGTTTTGTTTGGGAACTAAAGCACCAACAGAAACCTGAATATGTATGCAATATCTTACATCTTTATGGAAATAGTAATTAGTACTACCGATGGCAGTATTCAGCTTTTACGCATTCAGAGTATACTGAGCCTAGAGGGGTCAAACGAAAATTTCATCGTTTGTCGTCTCTCGCCATGTGACCCGACTCCTCCCCCTGCCGCAGGGAGCCGACACACCATCGGACGCCGGTGACCCGGAGGGCGTAGCCCGACGGCCGGGCGGCGAGCCAGTGGGAGACACGGACCTCACTTCGCCGACCGACTCCATGGCAGGAGACGGTGCCGACAGCAACGGTCACAGCGCCACGGTCTCCGAGACCAGCGACGCCCAGTAGAGGTCGCGCACGGAGGTTTGGGGGAGATCAAGAGGTCCTCACCCGACGGAACCACTCAGATGGCCAGGTAGTGAGTCATCACGCGCTGCCGCTGGGGGGGGGGGGCGGTCCTTGCCATCGAAAGAGGGATAGATGATTGTCGCGGTGGCACGTGGTTCACGCTGAGCCACTCCTCTGGTGGTCACTGACCCACTACCGACCACTACGCCGGCCTAACGGTACCTCTGGTGTCCATTCCGGTTTGTCGTAGTTCAGCTGCTGGTTAGATTCCTGTAGTGATCGTATCCCCGAACACAAATGCATATTTTGGGTGTCAGGTATCGTAAGGGCAGACACGAGTTGTCGGTGTTCCATGTTTGTCCGGGCTTGACTCCAGCATCGCCGCATGCCTTTGGAGTCCCCGTAGATCCGATGGAGGCTGGACATGGACCGACTTTTCCTTTCCCTGAAGGAATCACTGGCCAGTTGGGCGAATGTGATACGTTGCGATGAGGTGAATGACACGCACAAGACACGCATTGGCATTATTTGATTGTAGGGTTGTGTTGCACGCTTTTGCGCTTTTGCTTCTCATGTGTACTACTTTTGGCAAGCAGGCAACTGTTATTGGAGCATTGGCGGCTTGGCGTGCTTAGGTAGATAATCGGATTGAAAATTGTTTTCTTTCATTAGGCCGCATTCTTGCACACTTTCATATCGGACACTGCGAACAAAACTCCCCCAGTGCAATAATTATACAATTTAGGTCAAGGTCGCTTTGCTTGATACGTTCTATAGAGTTTACTTTAGCTATCCTTGAATATCCTCTAAACTGTTTCCCTCTACTTAGTTGCTCGAATAGCTGATAATACACTCGCGTATAGTAGCAGTGTAGCGTATTATTTTTATATGCGTATTGAGTTATTTCTTTTTGCTTAGCGTTTATGCATAGGTAGCGGGGAAGAAGCTAGCGTCAAGTTTAGGCAGTTCTGACTCGGAGTGGGTCATCAGCTGGTTCATGTTTGTTACCAACAACGTAGGTACCTGTGTCTTACGTTGTTGGTAACCCTATTCTCGCTTGTCTCAACCTTATCGAACCGTGTTAAATCAAGAAACACTTTGACGCTGGGGTTTGTGCATTGCAAGGCATGTATTTCAATGGTAATTTCTTGTTTCAATCAATTGGTTATCTCCCACTTAGATGTCCATCTCTGGTTTCAATTCGATGCTCACGTTCATTACAGTATCTGCAGCGTTCAATCAGTACGGATGTTGTCTGGTGCAAGGAAGGGTGCGCGGATGTTGCTTTATATCCTCTCCTCCAGCCGCATCTCACTGCGATGTCACGACTTTTGTGAACCTAGTCCAACAACTGTGATGCGACTTACCGCTGACAGATATGTTCCACGTGTGCGTTTATGAACGCGTGCCATCCGAGTCTCGAGCGTGCAGCGTCGTGTTTCATGTCCGCGCGGCCTGTGTCCTTGCTGGTTGCCGATCTGTTGCTGTGTATTTTTATATTCTGAATCTCTCGGGCAATATATGTATTGGATCTGTGTATGTCAGGGTAAGGCGGTGGCGTTCGATTCCGCCCAGATCTGGGTACCCGACAGTACCTCACGTCGCTGCGCGATAACGAATGACATGAGTGGCCTTCTCTGTGTAGTGGGCACATTAGCTGTATCATGAGTATGTGCGTGCGTGTTCCATAAATGTGGAATGAGACATTGTGTAGGGATGCATTCTCTCACCGGGCATCGCCGTTGGCAACGACGCCAATCGAATCCACGTGCTTGTACTCCTTATACATTTCGGAATGGACAGCTGTGGTGTATGTATGTCAGCATGGGGCGCTTTCAATATAATGATGTTTCAGCTCCTGTGTTTTGACGGCGACATACTTATTAAAGTTGAATGTTTCAATTTTTCGCCTTTGATTGATAATTCGATGCATCTTTGCCTCTTGTTCTATCCTTGATATAATCGCAAAACGTGACTCCTCTCATAACATGAACGATGATCAATTCGGCACACAAAATCCAAAATCCTATCGATTAAAAGTACCCTTTCACTTACTCGTCTTGTAATTAGTCGTGGATGAAAAAGTTGTCTTGGTGCGTCGAATGACAGGCTTGAGTGATACAAGTAACGGATCATATATTGCGTGTTCATATAAAAACATGGAATGTTATGGAGATAATATACAATGACGACTCATGAATGAACAACAAAGATAACAATGGTAGCTTCAGCTGTGTTCAATCCTCTTCTGGCGAGCACTGTAAACACACAAAATAGACGTTAGCTTCCTGCGCTATGCTGAAACTACTTATGATCTTAGGAATCAAAATGCTAACAAAGCAGGACGAGTTACTCCATTAAGAATCCTGAGTTCTCCATTAAGATTCCTGGCACAATTATGTGCCAAGCATTGAAAATTTTGGTATCAGATATCACAGAAGCTTATCACGCCTTATATACGGCAATTGTTGGCTCGAGTAATAGATAAATAGAAAGGCATTATCAGACCCACTCTGAAAAAATAACTCTTTAAAGTCAGTAAACTGGGTTGCTACGTGAATGACATTGAAATGACACGGTAAATGGCAGTGATCCAGCAGGCTCTCCTCCCATTTCATACCATTGTCCACCGCCGAAACTTACAAAGAACTCGACGAAGCAGATGTGTCCGTCGTCCGTTTTGATCATGTACTGGAGGCAGAGGAAGCCGCGCGCGTCCGTGCGCAGCGACACCTTCTGCGACTGGGCGAGCGGCTTCAGGGAGAGCTTCATCAGGGCGAGCCGGTAGCGGCTGGTGCTGGTGCGCGGGCACTGGAACAGCTCGACCAGGTCCGAGTCGCCCGCCACCTCCACCTGTGCCACGCCAGTGCACGTGGTGCGACAGTCATACAGCCCTTACTTCCAATTAGGTGAAAAATTGTTTCGCTGCCTAATTAGTACGGAAAATAAAAAATACAGTTTTACAACATATTGTGAAGTCATTAGTCATTACAGTATATTGTAAAACGAAAGTAAAGTACATACAAAGTACAATATAAGAGCAGACCTAGCAGTGACATCTACCCCTCAGTTTAAGCGCCAGTACCTTTGACTCGATGCCGGCTCCGACAGCGGCGAACTGCAGCAGTGGTGGAGTGGGGCAGAACACTATTACTATTACCTTGGACTCGATGCCGGCTCCGACAGCGGCGAACTGCAGTAACGGCGGAGTGGGACAAAACACCAGCTCCATCAGGTCACAGTCGCCGTCCATCTCCGCCAGCGCCTCCCGCAGACAGTCAGACCTAGAGAGGTGCATGTTAGCGTTCAGTACGCCTTCCATATGCATACCAGATTAATTCAAAGGCAAACAACGGCAGAATCAACAGCGGCAACAATGATGATCGCGGAGTTTCGTGAAAGCTGAATCGGAAAAGTATCACTGAAGACAGGTCAGAAGGTTCCGAGCTGATTACCTGATGATTGTTTTGTTGACTACATCGGAGCTGTTGAAGTTGAAATCCATCGTGTCCTCCGGCAGTTGCGTCTTGATGGAGCAGTCTGTGAGCACGCCGCTCTCCTCTAGCCTAAGCGGAATGTGAAAGACGTCAATTAGTATCATGAAAAGATGTTAACTTTTATTAGGCCCGCAACTTGAGCGTATGACGCTCATCCCAGCAGCTTTTTAGGAAGAGCAAACGACTCCTGAGCTGACCGTCGCAGCAGTAAGAGCCCAACTGACCTAACTCAGCTCTCGCTATTTGGTTCTGAAGGGGGTGGGTTAGCGAAAGGCTTCCAGATGATGGCGATCGCGTTTCAGGTGCTGTAAGATAATGTGAACACGTGAAATGTAAATTCCACTATAGGTAAACTCCATCGTGTTCTCCAGCATTTCCAATCATACGATATGTGTGCAAGGCCACGGCAGACGAATCGAACGGGTATTGAACAAGAAAAGTCGACGATTACTTTTACAGTTTCAAAATAAAATAATTGCAAACATCCCACGGGTTGAACTTGTAGATAAAGACGTTCTAGTAAACTCTTACGAAGCGAGATCTTTCAGAACAAGATCAAAATTGCGATTCGTGTCTCGTGTGGCGTGCAGAATGTAGCGGTCAACGGCGCTCAAATAAATAGCACGGCGAAGATCGTGACATACTCACACAATTACGAGTGGATGACCGTCTCCCGCATAGCACATCTTGAGAGCTGTGGTGGCACCTGCTGTACCGCCAGAGCCAAAAATGTTCAGGCACTCTAGCAGCACTGACAGGTTTATCTTGAAGGACAATGTCTCTTGACTGAGCACAAATTGCTGGAAATGGGAACGGCAAACAGTACTTAGTAACTACAGGAGGAGACAAACATGCTAACATTTTCTTTGAAAAGGTCTGAAATGGTGCTGAAAATGAAAGAAGGCATTAAATTCAAGAAATGGGTTATGGCCACAGGACTATAACAAGAAAGTATGTGTAAGGATTATGACATGTTATGATGTTGAATGCATAACAAGCATGAAGAGCACATGATCATTCATCGTGCTTTTGGCATCTCACATTTATTCATTTCTTACAACTACAAGTCCACTGGCACTGTTAACCTTTGCGCAACCACACTACAAGTACTAGCATACCTGGAACATGTCAGCTTGTATGAATGCATTTGCCTGCACACACTTGCTGTCTTCCACTGTAACTTTCAATCCATCAGATGTGACCACCACCACTGCACTCTGAAAACACATCAACTGTTGTTCAGATGCCTGTGACAATCTATAAAATGTCACAGCATATTTAAAAACAAATTCGGAACCTGCAACTAAGACAAATGAACAGAGTGGACATGATGAAGACATGTCAATGACTATCCTTTTGTCATTAGTTTCTGCTAGTGACATCCTTCCTTCAAATGGCATAATGGCTAATTCTATCATCGACTAATCATCTGGACTTCATCAGTGTTCTCAAGGTGTTTTTTATGTTAATACTTTCAACAGTTTTTTTTTTAATTAGTTGGTTGTGTAACTTAAAGAAATCTTTTAAAAGATTACATATTTTCATAGCATACAAAACGTGAATGAGTGAATGCATGTGAATAAGAATATGAACATGTGAAAGTGAGAATGTGAATAAATACCAGCTAATACTGTAAGGCGTAAGCTGCAAAGGATAAGGAACAACTCCTGCCATTTTCACACCTGGTGTTATGTTTCGAGCAAAGTATCAGTGAAAAAGTAACCAGTCAGTATAGGTTTGCCTTCCACATCAAAAGGTTCAATTTATATAATGCCTTTCCAACAACATGTGAAAATAATTGCAACACTATCAATATCACACAACCTGCATCCTGCAATTTTCAGGTCTCCCAGTTTGTTTTGAGTCTTAGTTATCGAGTCATCCACAAGTGTGCAGGAATAGATCTATTCTTAACAACCTTTTGGCTTCTAAAATATAAAGAGTTGCATTCAATATCGTACCTACCTCTTTAAAATGTACTGCTTTCAAAAGCTGTGATACATTCTTCACATTGTCTATTTTTGCAACAAGTACATTCTGTTTATCTTCGTCACTGTCTTGTGTATCCAACATTTTGCCAGGCACACCTCAACCTGTAAATGAACAGATACAAATTATACCATGTTAATACCGGTAATAACAACATAGTTTAATACAATTATAGTTTAAATGCAATGGTTGAAGCTGGGCGCCGGTGAAAACAGGGCGCCGGAGGCCATATTTGGTCACGTGACCATTAAGAAGTTCTCCTCTCTATGCCTTCTAACAAGCCCATATACCTTCTACATGGTGAATGTCACATGGTTTAAGGTTTGTGCAAGTGAATTTCAAGAGCTTTGATCAAATCACCCCAGGCACCCTGTTATCACGTCGTCCTCAAAGCTTGCTTGAAAAATAAATATATTTCTAGATGCAATATGTTTTGAGCTGTAAATACCTGAGCTGAATATTACTCAACCATCCTCTCCAAGGCCATACATGGGAGTATCTGATGAAGTGGCAACTAAATATTAAAAATCATATTTGTTTTCTCCTAATCAAGCCACTATTGCTATGACTACTCTGGAAATTATTGTTTTGTATGGTGAGGAAAAGCTTTGGCCTTGACATTATAAGCAAAAGTACTTGAGAAGCCTGCGAAGCACAAAATTGAAATGCCTGAAATGGAATTACATCTCAATATTCCTCAATTTTAACCTGTAAGAAGATAACCAAGAAGTAAACAGTTTGAGAAATTCAAAAGAACCGCAAAGCAAAATAAGCTGCGCCAGAAACGTCAAAAGGCTGTCTTATTTGTCTTTTCAAATCACTTCCATATGCTGCCAAATTTCTAGCTTCATAAAAAATACCTACCGCCGCTAAGACCGGTAAGACCAAGGGTAAGACACTTTCTGACTAGTTTCATGCGTGAGGCGGTTTAGCAATTTCGGTAAACAACGCAGCGAACTTTGCTGTCATGCCATATGGCCTTGGTCATGCCAGTCATTCTTTTTAGGCCTACTCATTGCATTTGACAGATTATCGGAAAAGCGTCTCGGATCGCTTGTAATTTTTTTTTCTTTTGCAACAGTGAAACTTGAAAGAAAAAGCCGAGCGGCCTCTCCCTTTTATCCGTCCAAACATACGAGAACTTTCCGTGCGGTGCGGAACATGTTGATTCACACTACACTGGTTCACTCCCTAAGTGCCTATGAAATTGAAGAGATAGTCCCTGCTCCGCAATGTAGGTAGTTGCAGCAGCGGCGGAACACCTTCAAGGGGGGGGGGGGCACTGCCGACTTTTGGTCCTGCATTCTTTCCATGCAACGCCCATAGGGCCAATGTTAAAATGCCAAAATCAAAGGGGGGCACGGTGCCCCGGTGCCCTCCCCGCTCCGCCGCCTATGTGTAGTTGCCTTCTGGGCTAAATGGGCGTGCTTTCAGAAAGGCGCTGTTGACGGCACGATTTTTAGCCGTATGATCGAAATCACTTTCTATTAGGTATAGCAGAATTCTATTCACGGCATTGAAACCAGCCAGTAGGTTTTGTGGATGTCGTAGAATCAATTCACGGCATTTCAGTCGTGAGCAGCTGTGCGCATCTGAAAACACCGACAATAATCCGATTCCGATCGTAATGACGATGGTAGCAGTTAATTGATGCCAAGTAAAAGTGGACCTTCTATAGCTCGGTAGTCGGTAAGTGCATACACTGCATAGTGCATACTTACATACGAGTATACAGGAATGAAGACCGCGGATATCCATATACGCCCTTGGTGTCAAAAGAACCAAGCGAGGTCGAGAGTCGAGACAGTGAAAAGTGAAAACAAACCGGCCGCCGGCCGGATATGCTCAGCACCGCTCCCCTCCCAGTGTTTGTTCCCTTTCTGTCCTGGTGTCACTGGTGCTTACGCTTAGTGATTACTATCTTTGGGAACCTTGGTGATTGCATTGTTGTCCGTGAGAAACATCGTCTCATCATTGTGTGCTTAGATAAAGTGATCGTTTTGCACTATGTACAGTCCACAGCAGAAGTAATGTGTGGTTTCAGTCATCGGTAACCGAAGGTTTGTTGTCAATACTATTCACGGCATTGAAACCAGCCAGTAGGTTTTGTGGATGTCGTAGAATCAATTCACGGCATTTCAGTCGTGAGCAGCTGTGCGCATCTGAAAACACCGACAATAATCCGATTCCGATCGTAATGACGATGGTAGCAGTTAATTGATGCCAAGTAAAAGTGGACCTTCTATAGCTCGGTAGTCGGTAAGTGCATACACTGCATAGTGCATACTTACATACGAGTATACAGGAATGAAGACCGCGGATATCCATATACGCCCTTGGTGTCAAAAGAACCAAGCGAGGTCGAGAGTCGAGACAGTGAAAAGTGAAAACAAACCGGCCGCCGGCCGGATATGCTCAGCACCGCTCCCCTCCCAGTGTTTGTTCCCTTTCTGTCCTGGTGTCACTGGTGCTTACGCTTAGTGATTACTATCTTTGGGAACCTTGGTGATTGCATTGTTGTCCGTGAGAAACATCGTCTCATCATTGTGTGCTTAGATAAAGTGATCGTTTTGCACTATGTACAGTCCACAGCAGAAGTAATGTGTGGTTTCAGTCATCGGTAACCGCAGGTTGTTTGAAAAGACAAACACTATTCGTTAGAATTGTGTTTTTCTATTGAAAAACAACCGGAGCGGTCGTTCTCCGGGCTATGTTTTGCAAGTCTGGCCGTAACCGCAGGTTGTTTGAAAAGACAAACACTATTCGTTAGAATTGTGTTTTTCTATTGAAAAACAACCGGAGCGGTCCTTCTCCGGGCTATGTTTTGCAAGTCTGGCAGCGAATCGAGACATCTTGACCGGGGCCTAAACGTGCATTGCGATTTTCGTAAAAAGTTCAGGGTATGGGTTCCCGCAGGCGATCTACCTGATGGCACCGGTCGCTACTCGCTTAAAACCTCGTGGCACGTGGCACGTGCGATTCCATTTTCCCCATGTTAAGTCAACGGGGTTTTGGACACTTTTTGCGCGATCGGGAATGGCGGAAAAAATCGCCGATCAAGGTATGGTTTGCTGCACACCATTTTATGACTGACACATTCAGGTACACGCCCATATGCGCCGTCTACCCGTAAGAAGTCGATATTTTTTGTAGTACGACTTTGAAGTTGAACTTTTTTCGCTCCCCATGTTAAGTCAATGGGCGTTTTTGCAGAGACATTTTCATTCGCACATTGCACAAAATTATATGATACGATTTTGTTTAAACTTTCAGGACCTGTTGAGAAACGACCATAGAACATGTTGTTATGCTTCGTTAAACTGTCAGAATTCGTTTGTTCTTTTTAAGCTCGTTTAAAAGTGAAAATTTTTAACATTGAAAGTCAATGGTAGCGTCTTTGGTGCTTAATAACTTTGTACGTTGAAGATATATTTAAGTGAAAAGTTGATAGGATATACAACTTTTGATGCTCTTTCCAATGATATATAGAGCGTTATTGCACGTTGTGCCGTTTTTGAGAAATTTAGTAAAAAAACACGACATAACCGAGATTTGAGCTCACAGCTATATATGGTCTTTGCTCAGACAGTATACGAACAGGTGACGGGGATACCTCCCATAGAAGGATGCGATTTAATGCTAAATATTAGCGGCCGGCCGCCGTGGGCACGTTTTTGTACGACTTATATCTCCGCAACCACTGGACCGATACACTTGCGGTTTTTTTGTGTGGGGTAGCTTATACCCTTCTTACAAGTATTTTACTACGCACGATGCGTGCAGGTGACCCCAACTGCACGTGACACGTGTAAAACGGACAGGTGTCACTTTTGTTGTTATGACAATAACACGGTAAGTGCTGGGCTGATTGCGCTGAAACTTAACAAGGTTGTAGGCACACACCGAACCATGCGTTTCCATGTGCTACGGTTGGGGTGCAACTGCACGTGCGCACGTGCAGGGTGACGCTTCCAGATCTCGAGAACGGCCGGGCCGATTGAGTTCAAATTTGGTACACCGCTAGAGACCGGTTAGTAGGGTGCCGTGCGCAAGTCAGATGGGACCCATTGGCACGTGCGCACGTGCAGGCTGACGCTTCCAGATCTCAAGAACGGCTGGGCCGACTGTACTCAAATTTGGCATACCGCTAGAGATTGGTTAGTAGGGTGCCGTGCACAAGTCAGTTAGCATGTATTTCCATGTGCCACGGTTGGGGTACAATTCATGCACGTGCGCACGTGTAGGGGTCGCTTCCAGATCTTAAAAACGGCTTGGCTGATTGAGCTCAAATTTGGTACACCGCTAGAGACCGGCGAATAGAGTGCCGTGCACAAGTCAATTGGGACCCAGGTAGCACGTGCGCACGTGCAGGAAGTCGCTTCGAGATCTCGAAAACGGCCGGGCCGATTGCACTCAAATTTGGCACACCACTAGAAAGAGGTTAGTGGGGTGCCGTGCACAACTCAAATTTAAGCATCCTATCCCAAAGCTCATGCGCACGGCTAACTCTCCCGCTCTTTCCTTTGTCACCCTAAAAGGCGCGTTGCTGGTATCAACCCTCACCGGCCGAGGGGGGGGGGCAGGTGCCGCTCCCCAGACCTCAGACATCGGAACCTCGCACCGCCCTCAGAGCCAAAAGAACTTTCACAGGAAGATGAAACTTACAGGACGTAGTATCCTCCTGTTAGCAGAAAGTGACCTACCGTGACCTTTCATGACCTGACCTGACCTGGACCCGTGCTAAGTATGGCCACTATACGCACATGACCTGGCCGTGACCTGAAAAATTCGAAGTACAAGTTTGGTACCCTCAGGGTACGCATGTATTCATGACTGTGTAAAAAAAATCGAAAATGAGCCTGATCTGGCTTATAAGTTGGTGGTCAGACACCAAATAGGTAACCCGCGCCCTGGTGGGGTCTGTTAATAACGCGACCTGGTGGGGGGGATAGTTAACCCGCGCCTGGTGGGGTCTGTTTAAAACGCGACCAGGCCCGATTTCACCAAGTGAATATATTCTTGGTCTACTTTGGAAAAGTACACCGACAGTACAATACTATTCTGTTTCACCCATTAGCGTCGCCACGGGGGGCAAGTGGGGCAGCTTGCCCCCCAACCTCCGGCCGGACACCCCCTGAGATCGATGCAGATTTGACGATACAGATACAGATACAGATACAGATACAGATACAGATACAGATGTATTCAAACAGGATCCCCTCTGAGGAGGGGCTTTTCACATGTTCACGTCAATGAAAAACCGAAAATACAAACAATGAAGCGCATACATAACTCTTTCACGCACATGCATTCGTTCAACATACGTTCATGTCGATGGCGTGGCCATCAGCACATTTTTGACTTTATAGCGGTACGACAAAATACCTGGCTCGACTCCCAGCTCGTTCAAACGAGCTATGCCACGGTAGCAGAGCCTACGGCGGCCTGCTTCCGTACGAATGGATGGGAGTGTAAAATAGTAGGCGCGCCTGCAGCTTGCCCCCCAACCTCCGGCCGGACACCCCCTGAGATCGATGCAGATTTGACGATACAGATACAGATACAGATACAGATACAGATACAGATACAGATGTATTCAAACAGGATCCCCTCTGAGGAGGGGCTTTTCACATGTTCACGTCAATGAAAAACCGAAAATACAAACAATGAAGCGCATACATAACTCTTTCACGCACATGCATTCGTTC